ATATATGCACTATGTATGTAAGTATATGTGTATGTGTGTATATATGTGTGTATACACACACACACCCATACAAACACACACACAGACACTCACACATATTCATTCAATTACAATACCTCCCTCAAAGCTCTGGACACAACTCAACAATAAAAGGATTTAGAAGCAAATTGCTTTCATGTCGAGTTAAATTACAGCAAATACTCGTTCATCTGTCCTCTAGCAGGTTAGCTAGCTGCTCCCTCCTTCCCCCTCCAGCTCAAAATGGCTGGGAGTACAGAAATCCCACAGTCTGGTAGAGAAGTTTGAGGAAATATATCTCAAATAAACATTTGTTGCATTCCAGTTGTTCCCCCACCTTTGTTACAGCCAATTAGAAAGTCCAATAAAAGTCCAATAAAAGACTGCCTGGATGCAAAATATATATGTGTGTGTATATATATATATATATATCTTTCGATAAATACTGTATCCTTGAAACGATTTAAAACAAAAACAACCACAACAACAACAACAACAACAACAAAAACCTCGCTGCCCCAGCTCCAAGATTCCCCATGCCTCTGACTCAGGCAGTGGGCACTTTTACCGTTAGAGTCGGATGATCGCTGGGCGCAAACACACACCAGACCCGAACTCTCCCGTCTCTCCCCCGCCCCTAGATCCCAACTCCACAGTCATTTGAGCTCCCCAGGAAAAGTATTGCTAAGCTAGTTCTTCAGCCACTTCAAAGCGCGCCTCAGCCACACCGCTTAGTGCAGTACCTTACTTCAATCCGTGGTGTTGTATGGTAGAGTTCGAGGCTGGGGATGGGAAGGGAATGCAAACAGCTCAGCAGGGCGATAATAAATAAACGACTGACATTCTACTAGGCACTGAAAAATGCACCCCAAAATGCAAAAAGCACCAGGTTTAGTTAGCGGGCAGGGATTTAGGAGTTCGGGAAAGGGGGCAATGGCAGGATGCATCAGCAGCACAGAGCTCGCATTTGGACTGTGGGTCAGCATCAAGGACACCAGCCAAAGCGGAAAAGCGGGATGTGCCTAGGTGGAGACGGAGGAAGGGAGGGTTGGAGGGGAGGCGAAAGAGGGGAGGAGAGGAAGGCGATCTAGGGACCCCTTAAGTACTCACTGCTACCTCTTCCGAAAACATCCACCGTGCAGTGGTTCGGCTCCGGCCGAAGAACAGCAGTGGGGACTTGGGGTCACAAAGAGAGTAGCTTCTTCCGGAAGCGTATTGCCAATTTTCTTTCGCAAATGGCTGGATGATCCTCTTCAGAGTTCTTGAAAATCAAGAGAAAGAAGCAGAGGCTGTAAAGAAGCATCTTATCTTTCCCCAGCCAGGACTCTTGCGAGCAGCAACCTGCATGCACTGAGCTCCTACGGCCGCTAGGAGACGCTTGTAACCCATATTTGCAAAGCGGGCTTCCCATTCAGCTACATCTGGTTTAGGCGGGAGTGGGGGGAGGGGAGAGAGAGCCGAGGAAGGCAGCTTAAGTGGATGTAGTGATTATTTACAGCAGATCTGCCTATCTCACCTAGACTTCATCTCCACCTCTGTGTGTTTTGGGGGAGGACTCAGTCCTTGGGAACTTGGTTTGCATTTTTGGGATAAGAAACCCTTTTCCCCTGTCAACCTGCATTGCCATTCAGACGCATCTCTCTCTCTCTCTCTCTCTCTCTCTCTCTCTCTCTCTCTCTCTCT